TTCACAGTACCAGATCATTAGTTGTAAATACAGCGCAGCAGACTTGTTACTAATGTAGAATATGTTATTTTTAGAAATTGAGTCCAACAAGTCTTAAAGTTGCCAAGTTTGAGAACCACTGACTTACATGATGCATATACATTGTGACTAAATCCACATATGGCCTAAAGCACATACAACGAAATTTCTAAAAATAACATATTCTACATTAGTAACAAGTCTGCTGCGCTGTATTTACAACTAATGATCTGGTACTGTGAATGGCAATTTGCTTAAGGATTATTTTTGTGAACACACGTTTAAAATGTTCAAGTTGTTATCACTATCAAATCAGATATATATATATATCTACAAGAAGATCTGTATGATCATGTACAAATATTCTAAGGCAATTGTAGTTTGTTCCACAGGATTTGTGCTGCCATTGTTATAATCCTTTTCTCTTGTCTAGAAAGCTGTCCCTGTTAATATGCAAAAAGGCATAACAACTCTTTTTTCTGATCAGCAGGTTATTGGCTCAAAAATCTAGTATCTTGGGATGTGGAGATTTCTTTTAAAGTTCATGGAATAGCACCATAGAAATAGTCTTTGCCACCACAAAAGAAAAAAAAATCCTTTTTTCAATTGCTTTTTTTGTTGTTGAAACAACTTGTTTCCTCATTTTTATTGGCTTAAAATAATAATAAAATGATTAGTTCGTTCACAAACATTTCCCAGGAAATGTGGAGTGACAGTTCATTTTTGCCAGTGGAATGAAATTTATGATGGATGTGTTGAGTTATTCTGGTCCTGGTTCTGTCTGCTGATCACTGGGAAGAAGTTTGCCTTAGGCTGGCAAAAGACCAATTCCGATTTGGTTCATAGTCTTATGTAAGGGCTTAGCCTACTACAGTACTTCAGCAAAAAATACACTTAATACCCTCAGTTACAGACAATATCCAAAGTCTGGATGTATTCATAGTGAACCATGAATGTACAACGATGAGTTCTACTTTGTTATTGAACCAAAACTGCCCACAGATTTAATACAGTTTTCCAGGTTTTACATGAGGGATAGAAAAAAAAAGAATCAGCTTTCTTCTTCTCGCAACTTTTCTTTGTACATTTTAAATCTTGGATGTGCCACTGATGCAATTAGAATAAGAAAAAAAATACAAAGACAACATTTCAAGTGCATGACCTGTGTAGCAGGTGAGTTTTTCCTCCTCTCCTGGATTCAAGTCACTTGTCAAAAAGTTACAGTCAGCAGGATCTTTTTCCTGTCGTTGAAGATGGAAACAACCCTGGCATTTGTCAAGCTGTGAACAAAGCTCTTACAGTCTCCTTGGAAGCATGCAATATCTTTTCACCAGTTTGCAAAGACAACCATGAATGGAGACCATATGTTGTCACCATAATGTCTCTGTCCCTCTACAAAGAGGAGTTTATCTAAGAGTGAGATGTTTCAGTTTTTCCTCTGTTTGCAATCATGGGCTAAAAAAAATCTTTGCTTTTTACTAATACTGTCAGTATTTTTTTAAAGAATCCTTCCACCCCTTCGAAACAGTCATTCTCTGTTTAATTTTGGAGTGTCTTGTGTTATTTTTGAGTGTGAACATTATCTTGATATTTTATACTTTTGTATCGTATATGAAAGCCTTTTTTGTTAATTGTATCATCTGTATGAAAATGGAGTAAAACAGAATCACCTGCTGAATAAATTTCTTCCGGGGGCTGTAGGAGAAAGAAGAAAAGAGAGGCTTACCAAGGCTATTCTGGAAACAACAATAAATCATTACATTGTCTTTTTATCTGAAATGCAGTGTACTTAATCATAATAAAATGCATTATAATGGTTTGTGTTTCTTCTGATATGGCCAGTGAACAAGATAATACTGTTTTTTTTTAAATTAAATATTTCAAAGTTGGAATGACAGATGCAGCCATATACTGTACTTTTATCCTACATTTTTATTTAAAGAAAAGGCATATAAAGCACTGAAATTAAGATGGTAAAAACTGACTTAAGCCATTTCCTTCTTGTTATCCCCCCCCCTCAAAACTACCCAGCTTAGACTCTGCATTTCTCCTGCTCTATGAACAAAGAAAACTGAAAAAAGAACAGAAGATTCTTCCTCCACGTTTCCATCTTCAGCTTAAAGACAATTTGATTTAAGTTTTCCTTGAACTAAAATCTGCCTTGAATTAGAAATATTTGTTGTGTTTCCCTTTGATATTCACTTTTTATTTAGACAGAGAAGAACATTCTCTTTTAACAAATTTTCATTCAAAATATCAATAAACACAGAGGAATCGTCTTTCTTTTGGATCCTGAGCCATTTTAAAAGAAGGAATCTTGGTAGTTTAAATATTCTGTTCAATTAAATGCTCTGTTTATTCATCTGCCAATGAATATTATTTTGGCAGGGTGAGGATTGCATTTGGCCTTTATATGGTATGCTGAGGTACATGCAAAAGCACATACAGCAAGATAAAAACAGCTTTTATTTAAATTTAATTATGATTATACTTGCTTAATTAAATATAGAACTTTTAAAAATACTGCAGAAATAATTAAGAATTTGCCAGAAGGATGAACCCTAGATGTTAATTTGTTTGTCTAAAATTGCACCATATGCATTATAACTCTTCTATATTCTGTTGCTGGATTGTAAGTAAACTGGTACATATTGTCATCTTTAATGGCTGCATTCAGTAGGACAAGCCTTTTGCTTGAAAAGTTGTGAAGAAATTATCCAACAGTTTTTCACAATGGATTAATCTCACTGTTCATTAAATAACCTAAGATAAATAAATATAGGCAGCTTAAGAAATTGATTCAACTCTTGCTAGCTATCAGATTTTTAAAGTAACAAAATAATGTAAAAAAAAAGATATTCAATTCGATTAGCAGCATTTTGACACAGCCTAAAGTTATATACTCCTTTGTTATTGTAATTACTTGATTTAGATATGAGAGTGTTCCATTTGAATTAGATTATTTTTTGTCACAAGTTAAAGGTGAAATGGAAACATGGAAATACTACTTGGAAAACCTTTATAGTCAATCTGACAGGAAAATTTCAATTTTTCTTCAGGACTAATCCCTCCCTCAAAAAAAAAAAAGTATGAGAGATTCTATATTAAATGAAAAAGGTACCTGCCACAATTGTTTGGTTTTCTGTTTCCAGTCAGCACCTCTGAAATCATTTTAAACAATAACAGAATGTCTAAAATTCCTATTCTTCTAAACACCTTTGTGTATTGTTTCTATGTACCTGCTTCTCAGTAACAATTTTTTTTTGCAAGAAACAAAAGTTGTCTGATTCTCTTAGCTTTAAGAAACAAATATTTTCACTGCAAAAAACCTAAATTACTGATACAATCCAGCAAGCTACTTTAACACATTTTTTCTGAGCACAAGTTTATTTATTTTTTCCTAAACAGTAATCCTTCCACTGCACTGAAGCTTTCTTTAAACTCAGAGATATTTTTGTTATAACAAACTGTGGATGTGAAAGTCTGCTAGAGAAAAAAATGGAAAAAAGCAGAAAGATGCTATGCATAGGCACCTCTATGGCACATTTACACATGCTGTTCTGATAGTTTATGAAGAAAGTTGATAATTGCAAAACTTAAAAGTGACCTACCCCTGATCCACAAAACCGGCCAATCCTCAGAGCAGATGTATCATGGCCATCAAAGGCTTCTAAGTAGTCATAACCACAGTCTGCTTCTTCTTCCACTTCAAATGTCTGAAAAACCAATTCTATTCGATAGCCATGGTCTGACACCAGCAACCATTCGCAATCTGCTTGAACTGGATAATTATTATCACCAAACTGAGCATGAGAGTAAAGGTCTCTCATTTTGCTTTCAGCTCTCAGGCGGCCACCACACTCTGTGTGCAAGATGGGGGAAAGAAAAGATTTGACCCTTAGTTTTAGTTTTGAAAGGGATCTAATTTATTTTTCTACTACCATTGAGAAGCACCAAGAACAAAAGAAAAACCACTAGATGTCAGTATAAACAAGGAAATAGACATCATAAGACATTATTTGATTCCAGCAGAAAACCATAATTGCTGGCAGAAACTGTTTTTTCCATGATCACCAGGATTTATAGTTCAGCTTGATTTAAAATATATTCTGCAGCAAAACACTATGATTTGGTTTTCCAAGAAATAATAGAATGGATTATTCAAATGTATTCTGTGTATTTAGTATATGTATATAAAAATATTCTGTTTTCTGCACAAGGGACCTAATTAAACTTTCACCCACAGTGGTGTTAAACAGGTATCCATTGAAGTTAGTAAAAATTATTTTCACACCTGTTGAATGGGTTGCTTGGAAGCCTTTCCTTTGAACTGATGCATCAGAGATAAATCGAAGAAACATTTTATTTCCTGTGGCAATAAGAGGATCTGGTATCTTATTTCCACATAAACGCCCCAGAATTGGGGATTTTTCATTTTCTCCATCAAACACCTCCAGATGGTCATAAGCACATTCCTGATGTTGTTCAATTTCAAACTCAATAAATACCTTAAAAAAATAGCAAAATATTAATCCAGAATTTAAGTGTATCCCAATTACAGTTATACTGTACATATTGATCAGAATCACTCTAAATATTAAATTAAATATTAGAGGGCGGTATTTGAAGAAGCAAACAATGAAATAATGAAGATCTAATTTAGCCCAAGTGTAGATATATTTATGAGAACTTTGGAGATTTACAATACAATACAATACAATAGCAGAGTTGGAAGGGACCTTGGAGGTCTTCTAGTCCAATCCCCTGCCTAGGCAGGAAACCTTATACTGTTTCAGACAAATGGCTATCCAACATCTTCTTAAAGACTTCCAGGGTTGGGGCATTCACAACTTCTGGAGGCAAGCTGTTCTATTTATTACAAGTTCTTTTGGATTTGATCTAATTATGCTCTTAATAGCTTTCTCAGTTTTTAATCATCATTTGCATTACAAATACCAAGATATTTATTCCTATCATCTATCCATGATAGAAGTAAGAAAATCTAGATTATGTCTAATACGTGTTAATTTTTTTCAACTTTATAGGACGGTTTCATATTTTTCAGATAACTAAAAAGAAAGCTAAAGGAACATTTCAGAAAAATGTTATAAAACTAATTTTAAAACTATATTTTAGAGCTTTTAGAAATGAATTCATTAAATAAAGGTAAAGTGTTCCCCTCGCACATACTCTAGGGCAGTGTTTTTCAACCACTGTGCCGCGGCATACTAGTGTGCCGTGACATAGTGTAAGGTGTGCCGTGGGAAAAACACTTTATATATAGTCAATATAGGCACAGAGTTAAA